GGTAACTCACTATGGTTTTGATTTGCATCTCTGCTCTTGCCAGTGATTTTAAGCATTCCTTCGTGTGTCTATTGGCCATCAGAATGTCTTCCTCTGTGAAAAGTCTTTCCATGTCTTTTGTTTATTTTGTAATTGGGTTATCAGTCTTTTTCTTGTTGGAGGCCCAGGAGTATTCTGTAAATTTTTGCTATGAAACCTTCATCTGAGATAGTATTGCCAATTTTTCTTTTTTCTCAGTCAGCAGGCTTTCTCTTCACCCTGTTGGAGATTTAATCTTAGGTCCTATTGATCAATTTTATCCTCTCCTAGTTGTGTATTTCTGGCTGTGTTTGCCAGCCTTTTTATAACATGGGCTAGGCCTTCTAAGCTTGGTCCCACTTTGTCTCTTATGATCTTTATCGTTTGGAATTTTATCCCTAGGTCTCTAATCCACATTGAATTGCTTTTTGAGAAGTGTGCATCCTGCTTCAGCTTTCTGCAGGTAGAAGTCCAGTTTTTCCAGCACTGTTTGTTGAAGAGGTTGCTGTTTCTTCATTTGATAGGTTTGTTTCCTTGTCAAATATCAGTTGATAGATGGGTTATTTTCTTGATTGTATTCCATTGGTCTAGTACAGTAGGTTTTGATATCAGGGCGTGCTATGCCCCGACTTCATATTTGTGTTTCAGAAGTGTCTTGCTTATTTGAGGTCTCTTTCCTCTCCAAACAAATTTGCCAATTGCTTTTGCTATCTCTTTGAAAAATGAGTTTGGTATCTGTAACGGGATCACTTTCATAGTTAAAAAGGTCATTTCTAGATCCGTCTTGAAATACAATATTGTGAGTGACAGGATAATATCCATACACATACAAGGAAGACCTGTTAATACCACAATCCTTCAATTTTATGCACCTACAACCAGAGCCAAAGAGGAGGAAATAGATGATTTTTACCAACTGTGGCAGTCAGAAATTGATAGAACAGGTAACCAAGATGCATTAATAATAATAGGTGACTTGAATGCAAAAGTTGGGAATCAGGAAGAAGGATCAGTAGTCAGAAAATATGGGCTTGGTGATAGAAATGAGGCTGGGGATAGAATGATAGAATTCTGTATAATTATTGAATTAGTCATATCAAATACGTTTTATAAGAATCATAAACATAGGTGGTGGTTGTTGTTGATTGCTGTCGAGTCCAGGTTGACTCATGGCGATTCTATGAACAAAAGACCTAATGCTTTTCCATAGCTATCATTGTTTCTCCAAGTTCATAGAGTTTCCAGAGGCATGTGGTTTAGGAAGTGGATGCCACTCCTGCTTCCCAACCTGTTTTACAACTGAGAGTGCCACCAAACACTGTCCACAATGGGAAACCATTCTGGTATTTGATATCTCCATGGCACAAAGTTTAGCATCATAGCAAACTCAGGCTACCTCATATAGTGTATTGACAAAGAATGATGTGAAAGTGGAAGAATGTTCCTCGAGATATAACAGCACTAGTCTCATTTAGCAAACCACTTGGCCAACTGACTGGAAAAGATCTGTATTTGTTCCCATCCCAAAGAAGGGTGACCCAACTGAATGTGGAAACTACAGAACAATATCATTGATTTCACATGCAAGCAAGATTCTACTGAAGATTATCCAAAAATTACTGGAACAGCACATCAGCAGAGAACTGCCAGAAGTCCAGGCTGGGTTTAGAAGGGGTCGTGGTACTAGGGATATTGTAGCTGATGTTAGATGGATCTTAGCTGAAAGCAGGGAATACCAGAGGAATGGCTATCTGTGTTTCATTGATTATGCAAAGGCATTTGACTGTGTGGACCATAACAAACTGTGGCTGACTCTGAGAAGAATGGGAATCCCAGAACACTTGATCATGCTAATGCGAAACTTATACTTGAACCAAGAAGCAGTCATCAGAACAGAGCAGGGCAACACTGAATGGTTCAAAATTGGGAAGGGTGTACACCAGGGATGTGTCCTGTCTCCATACCTTTTCAATCTGTATGCAGAACAGATCACCCAGGAGGCTGGGCTCTAGGAGGAGAATTGTGGCATCAGGATTGGTGGAAGATCTGTTAACAATCTGTGTTATGCAACCCTGCTTGCCGAAACTGAGGAGGACCTCATGCACTTGCTGCAGAGGGTCAAGGACTGCAGCCTTCAGTATGGACTGAGGCTCACTGTCAAGAAGACAAATATTCTCACCACTGGACCAATCGGTAGCATCATGATGGATGGCGAAGAGATTGAGATTGTTCACAGCTTCACTTTGCTCGGCTCCATGGCCAACACTCTTGGCACCAGCAGCCAGGAAATTAAAAAATGTATTACGTTGGGAAAGTCTTCTGTTAGGGACCTCTCTAAAGTACTCAAGAGCAATGGTGTCTCTCTGGAGACTAAGGTGCACCTGATACAGGCCATGGTTTTTGCAATCACTTGTTATGCATCAGAGAGTTGGACAATGACTAGGGAGGATAGAAGGAGAATTGACGCCTTTGAGCTGTGGTGCTGGAGAAGAGTATTGAATGTACCATGGACTTCCAAGAAAACAGATTCATCCTAGAGAGGGTTAAATCAGGCTACTCCTTGGAGGCAAGGATTCTGGGGCTTCGTGTGACATACTTTGGACATGTTGTAAGGAGAGACAGGTCTTTGGAGAGGGACATCAAGCTGGGTAGAGTAGAGGGACAGCACAGGAGGGGAAGACCCTCTATGAGGTGGATTGATTCAGTGACTGGGGTAATCGGGATGGGTGTGTCAGAGGCAATGAGATTGGCACAGGATAGAGCAAACGACTCGACGGCAGATAACAACAACAACAAGTGTTGTCAAGTTGAATATGACTCAGAGTAAGATTTATACAAAGGATCTAAACTCTGTTCTATAATCAGTATCATTTCTGTACATTTATAAGAGCGTTTGTTGAGTTTCCAGAGGCATCTAGCTTATGAAATGGATGCCACTCCTGCTTCCCAACATGAATCAATCTGGAAGCTCATCCAAAGATTGTACATAATGGGTAACCATTATGGTATTTGACATGACTATGCAACAGTGTTCAGCATCACAGCAACTCCAAGTTCAGTACAGCAAATAGACAAATGATTGCTGTGTCTTCTAAAGAATAGTCCTCTAAAATTAACACATTTAAATCCTACAGGATTATAAAGCCACACCGTCAAATAGGGTTCCACCCTTATCCTTAGTTTAAGCCTCAAGGGCCACCCACTTTTGAGGGGGGAAAAGAACAGTAATGCACAAAGGACCCCAGAAACTTCCCTTGCCTGACTGCCATCAAGATGAGCCGCCATCAAGACACCAGCCAGCCAGCCAGTCAGCCGACTTCCACGGTGGAGGAAGACTCATGGATTTCACAGGAATCAGATTCATTACATCTGTGGAAGGAACCATTGGCGAAGTTCAACATCAGCAGTAAAAACTAGGCCAGGTGCTGATTGTGGAACAGACCATCCCCTTCTCATATGCAAGTTCATATTAAAACTGAGGAAGGTTAAATCATATCCACAGGAATAAAAATTTGACCTTGAGTCTATTTCTCATTAATTTAAAAACCAACTCAGGAATAGGTTTGAGGCCTTGAACACTAATGAACGAAAACCAGATAAGATGTGGGAAGATAGCAAGAATGTCCTTCAAGAAGAATGCAAAAAGTCATTACAAAAAAGGTAGAAGAAAAGACCAAATTGTCGGAAGAGACTCAGATTCTTGCACTAGAGCATCAAGAAGCCAAAGTGAAGGGAAGAAATAAAGAAGTTAAGGAGCTGAATAGAAGATTTCAAAGGGTCACTCAGGAAGATAAGGCAAAATATTATAAAGAAATGTGCAAGGAGCTGGAGTCAGAAAATCAAAAAGGCCGAATTTACTCAGCATTTCTTAAGGTGAAAGTACTAAAAACTAAATTCAAGCCATGAGTTGCAATGCTTAAGGCTGTTATGGGCAGAATATTGAATAATTCAGGAAGCATTAAAAGAAAATGGAAGGAGTATACACAGCCATTGTACCAAAAAGAATTGGCTGACACAGAAGAATTTAAAGAAACAACATATGAGCGATGAAGGAGGAAGTTTAGCCTACTCTGAATGACTTGGCAAAAAAGTTAGCCCCAACTGACGTATTTCAGCAAACAGATGCTGCCCTGCATGTGCTCACTAAGTCGTGCCAAGAAATCTGGAGGACAACTACTTGGACAACTGACTGAAAGAGATCCATATTTTTCCCCATTCCAAAAAAAAGGTGACCCGACAGAGTGTGGAAATTATCATACAATATGACTCATATCACACACTAGCAAAATCTTGCTGAAGATTATCCAGAAAAGACTTGGACAGCACATTGACAGAGAATTACCAGAAATACAAGCTGGGTTTAGAAGAGGTCGTGGCAAGAGAGACATCATTGCCAATATCAGAGGATCTTGACAGAAAGCAGAGAGTACTAAAAGAATGTCTGTGTGCAGCTTTGTTTGCAATAACAAAGAGATTGAAACAACCCAAGTGCCCATCAATAAATGAATGGATAGAGAAGCTCTGGTATATTAACACAATGGAATACTATGCAGCATTGAAGAACAAGGAACTCATGAAATATTATCCAAATTGGATGACCCTGGAGAACATTATCCTCAGTCACAAAAGGACAAATATTGCATAGGACCACTGTTATAAAATGGGACTGACATTGGGGTTGAGGGAAGACAGAAAAGGAGGGGAGGAATGATGTATATTGCATTGAAACAGATGAGGGAGAGATCTGTTTAAAAGGGATATATGAATGGGTATTCTTGTCATTACAGAAGTTCAGAGTGACGGCTTCATGGTGGAGTGGACTTGGAGGGATTGCATAACAATGAAAAAGGTTTGCTTTTTTTTTCTTTTCAAGGAGAAGAACGATTTGTGGGGGCAGGAAAAAAATGCTACAATGAATGATGGGAAATCCTAAGTCTCTGTAAACTTTCATTAAAATTAATAAATAAATTAAATAAAAAAAGAATTCAGCTATCAGAGTCCCCATTTGTAAAGTTTCATTGTTTTTATCAAGGATGTAAGGAAGAAATACCAAAATCAATTGTGACACTAGACACTTTTCTACTGGTCTTAGAGGATTACTAGAGCTGGAGAAAGTCAGTTATGGAATTGAATCCTTGCAATCTTCAAGTACATATGAGCACATAATTTATCAAATAAGAGATAAGAAAATGGATTTTAATCCCTTGGAAAGAAATTACTCTTTGAGAGAATTTGAGGATCAATTCTACAGGATTCTTGTGAAATCAGACAAATATTCAAAGGTCACACTGATAAATAGAACCCTAAATGTACAAATCATCATGGATAAAGCCTTGAATGATTGATTATATGGCCCCTGAAGTGGCAGTTGCAGATGAGAAAATTGTCCAGATGTTTGTCCTTATCGATACTGTGTTTTCCCAGTTTAAAAGCCTTCATCTTTGTAACTCTGGTCAGATAAAAACAAGATTTCAACTCATGTGGGATGCTGATGATATACTACAAAGATTTTTGTCATGGAAACACACATATTTGGTTCAAAGGCCTGATGGTGTGGCATACTTGTTAATTTATAGAGACTATGCTAATTATATGGGAGCAATATATCAAGGAGTGGCATGCAATCCAAAGTGGGCTGCAGGAATTGCTCTGTATCCAAAGGCAATGACTTTTGAAGCATTTTATATGATTTTGACATAATTACTTGGGTTCAATCTAGGATTAACATATGATGACATCTATAAGTGTTACTGCCCAGGAAATGCATGTGTAATGAATCCTCCAGCAATGAGTTCCCAAGGTGTAAAGTTTCTTAGTAGTTGTAGTCTGGATGAATTTAAACATACAGTTACGCAGCCTGAATTTGAATGTCTTCAGGATAAAATAATTTCATGTGTGTCTTTATATGGAAGAGGCTCATATTGTGGCAATTGAATTTTGGAACCACCAGAGTGGTGTGATTGTGGCATAGAAGGGAAATATCAATTTTAAAAATGCTGTAATGCTGCAGAATGTACTCTGATTTGAATATGCAGAATGTGGTACAAGACCATGTTGTGATAAAAAAAAACACAAAAAACTTGTCTGTTAACTGAACATGGAACTATGTGTAGAAAAAGTAAAGATCCCTGTGATTTTCCAGAATATTGTAATGGAACATTTGAATATTGTCCAGCTCATATGAGATCTGCTGATTTAGAACCAGGCTTGAATTATACTTCTGATTGCTATGAGGGAGTATGGTGAACTGTGTACAGTGTCTACAGCTGTTTGGAAAATTTGCAAAGGGTGCTCATTATTTATGTACAGAAGAAGTGAATTTTTATGCAGATGACTTTGGGAACTGTAGAGGAAAACCTTTTCTTTATGAGAATATCTTTTGCAGGAAGGTAGTTTGTCACTGGTCAAGAGCACAAGTAATACCATTGACACATTGTGATATTCAGTACACTTACCTAAGAGGACATGTTTGTATATCTTTATTTATAAGAAATGATTCAATAAGGAAAAGAAATGTTGATACTTATGTGAGTCACGGCTCTATCTGTGGTTCAATAAGGTTTGTTTCAGCACACAGTGTAAAAGTGTGACTGGATCTCGAGCAAAATCTACATATGACTCACTGAAAAAATGCAAAGGACATGGGAGTCTGGTGTGCCTTTATCAGTAAGCCATTGTGCTGCTGGTAAGAGAAATGGCCTTTTGATCAGTTTCTATGTTTTCCTACATTTTCTCATTTTAACTACCCTTACAGCTCTAAAATGGAATAAAATGAGGGAGTTTTAGAACAAAGAAAGTATAATAAGTGATGACTGTATCTGAAGACAGCAATCATAAGAGCGATCTGACACAGTGGCAAAGTAACTAACTAATAATGTCAAAAAGTCATAGAAGAAAAGAAGATGTTAGCAAAAGAGACACCATTAACATCTGCCAAGAATGAAAAGCATGCTTATCTACCCTTTTGTCATGGCTTAAGCTTTTCAATTTCATGAACCAAAATAAAGCAAATGAAAATACAAAAAAAAAAAAAAAAAAAA